TTACGTATATGATGCAACAATTGTGAATTGATATAAACCGTTAATGTTAATTGCATGAGTATAAACGTGCAGAATCTTGTCGCGAAGACTGAAAAGTTAGTTAGTTTGTTAATAATAACTAAATAAATGTCATGAAGGTTCAACAGCTAATTTTTATATTCATATAACTATTAAAATATTACATTACTCTTCAATGAATGCTTATATTCATATAACTATTATATTTGATATAAAGACAATAAATTGAAACTTGATTTATGAAAATAGAACACAAACATACTGTCTTATATTGTAGGGTTACATACAATACCACATTGTGACTTCCTATCTTTAAATAGCTGTACAGATAGCACTGAAGAATCAGTATAGTGCCATTTTATTACTAAACTTTCTCTGTATTAGTTAGGCAGTTCCAAGAAATAATCCTTATACGAAATATATTAGCACTTATTATTAGTTGAGATATTGATATAAAAACTTACAACAGATAATATTAGAGCAAAATGTCTAATCATCAGAGGCTTACAACAAACAAGATGTATTCGTAAAGCTATAATAAAATGTTATTCCGTTGATATTCCTGATGATTATTTGTTTAAAAATGTTTTCAACTGCGTAGCGATTCTGATTATACTTTATATTATTTTATAGCACGCTCTATGTGGTATTCATGAACGAGGCTCTAACTAACAAGTAATTAAGTAGATCGCAAGGTTCAAAAATATTTGTTTGCAGAAGAATAAAATGAACACAGCAGTAAAGAAAACACCCTGACACTTGTGTACAACATGAAAATATAGCCTTGACTTATCACACAGATTGTACCACATGTGTATTTATTTTCTCAGCACTCACAGAATGGCGAAATTTGAATATCTATACTGGCGAATTTCTGAGTAACGTTTTTGACTGGCTATTGGAGCTCCAAAGTAACATCCATTCACAGGAAAACTGTATTCATTCTACACTTTTGGTCAGATCAGGCCTCCAGTATAGTATCTCGCAGCTTACTTGCGTCTGTGACAATTCTCGTTACATTCAAAGAGAGATTACTTCCTAGCTGCCCCATCACTTAATTAGGTATGATCCACATCGTCGGGGGAGAGAAAATACGAGAGCTTTGTCGTGACAATACAAGCTCTCTTGAAGGCACACTACAGTATGCGACCTTGGACTAATGCAGTGACTTAAAGAAGTCCACGACTATTTACGTACTGATACCAAAGTCGTCTACCAAGTTGATATATATCCGAATAAAGATATTTTAACATTCTAATCAAGGAAGAGTAAAATCAGGCAGCTTTCAACTGCCACACCTCTAATGTTCTAAGCACTATTCTGTGTAGAACTTAAGAAGCTCCAATTGATCTTGCAACATGGTAGACTTATAAACTGCCATGCCGAATTGGATTCAGTTGTCTCTGTGTGAAAACATTAATCCACGTGAATTATTTTAGTGGTGCTTCCCAGAATTACAAGGATGTGTATATATATATATATGCTCATAATTAGAGGGCCCTAATTTCACTGAAGTGTCTCCCAGAAATATTTTTGAAAACCACACATATATATATATATATATCTTAATGCAGTAGCTAAAGATATACCGTTATCTGTGTTTTCTTCATTTGATAAAATAGAAAAGAAAAAATACAGGGCGAATTAAATAGAGGAAATAACTTAAATAACTAAAAAAAAAAAAAAGAGAAAAAAAAC